TGTCTCTGTCAAAATTTAAGTTCAGATTGATCGGAAAACTTATTAAAGAGCTATGGGCCTTTAGTTGCAATTTTTTTCAAATCTTCATCTTAATTTTGACAATATCTTGAAAGTCGTAAAAGGTAGAGCTTTTTACGTTTTTCATTAATATTCCAAAGTATTTCCTGTTTACAATTATCTTACTCTTCCAGGTAACAGACTAATGTTCCCTGGTTACAGAAATGCCATCTACCCAGGAGCAATAGAAAGCTATCAAAGTCCACTTTAACCTTTATTTAACATCGAGTTTTAAAGAAATACATAGTTCCCTATGCATAATGATAAGCGCAATCAATGTCAAAAATATAAATGCATGATAATTACATAAAGGCTTTCATTGGTAGTAGATATGGAATTATAAATATATATATACATATACAACACAGCATATATTTATATACTTCTTTTAGAGTAAGAAATACATTTCGCCTAAATTTTAAAAATTACTATTTTTAATTTGTTTTCATCGATCAAATCAAATCCATTCAATTCAAATTTTAGATTAAAAGCTAGAGCCTTAGTTTAAATTGCCAATTGTTCAGATTATTAAGAGCTTTTAAAGTCTTGTGGGCAAAACTTTCAGATTTTGCTTCGCTTAAAATACCAAAATTTGCAGATTTTCGCATATTTATGCTTATTTATTGAAAGTTATAGGCCCCAGGTTTGCTTGAAAAAAAAATATTTCAAATGATATACTCAAGGTCAGTAACTCGACAAATCAAGAAGATGGTCTTCGTTTTCTCGTTGTATTTTATTTATGTAATATTAAAATGAGAATAGAAATAAGGAATGTGTCATAGAGACAACAACCCGACCAAAGAGCAGAAAACGGGTGAAGGCCACCAATGTGTCTTCAATACAGCGAGAAAATCCCGCACCCAGAGGCGTGCTTCAGCTGGCTCCTAAACAAAATGTATACTAGTTCAGTGATAATGGGCGTCATACTAAGCTCCGAAATATATAAAAGAAACTAAAATTAAAAATCATACAAGACTAGCAAAGACCAGAGGCTCTTGACTTGGGACAGGTGCAAAAAATGCGGCGGGGTTCAACGATGTTTTGTGAGATGTCAACCCTCCCCCTATACCTTTAGCCAATTTTGAAAAAACAAAAACACAGCAATACGCACAGTAAAACTCAGTTTAAAACAAGTCCGAGTCCGATGTCAGAATAGGTAACAAAAGAAATTAAACAAAATGACAATGATACATAAATTAACAAAGGACTACTAGCAGTTAAAGACATGCCAGCTCCAGACCTCAACTAGTTCGAGCGGGCTTGGGACATTTAAAACCTAATGTTAAATGAAGGTTAAAATAGACTTTGTTAGCTTTCTATTGCCCCTGGATAGATTGCATTTCTGTAAACCGGGAACCTTAATCTGTTACCTGGACGACTTAGATAATTGTAAACAGATAATATTTTGGAATAATTATAATAAAAAAAGGCTCTAGCTTTTACGATTTTTAAAATATTGTCAGAATTATGAAAACATTGCAAAAATTAAGGGCCATAGCTCTGAAATACGGAAGCCCATAGGGGACCTACAGAAAAATAATATTATATCGTTATCTCAATATATATATTGTTATCTCGATATAATTAAATCGTTATCTCGATATAGTTATATCGTTATCTCAATAATCGAGATAACGATTTAATTATATCGAAATAACGATATTTATATTGAGATAACGATATGATATTATTTTTTTGTAGGTCCCCTATGGGCTTCCGTACATTCACAATTCTTATAGTATAATAGAAATAGGCCCAAGTGACAACTATGATAGCATAATAGACATTTGCCAGAGTGACAATCAATATGACACGGATGTTGAAACACCAATCATACGTGACAAAAAGCATAGCGTGCGCTGTCTAGCCAAGAGTTCCAAATAGAATAATTAACTAAGAAAATAAAACGAAAATTATCAGAATCATGTTAAGTAACGATCGTTGTCATCGGTTAACTCACACATTTGACCTCAAATAAACTTTATAGCCCCGCCCAAACACACCTGTGAAAATATAACACGCGTACAATAACCGATCGAAAGTTGAATGATCTGATCACAAACATGACGTATGGCGTGTCAAATGTTGCAACATTCACAAAAAATAAAATATATGTTCATAAAGTTAAAGAATTGTTCGTAAAAACGAATATTTGTTCATAAAAACATAATAATTATTCCAAAAATCGAAATATGTGTTCATAAAATAATAATAAATATGCATATAAACAAATTCAAGGGTTGACCCCAAATATTTAAATACGTGGCTTTCCAATTACCGTTTTTTTTATTCCAAACATCAAAGAAATAGGACCAACCAGCAAATTGATATGTACCGAATAGTCTAGAATAGCACAGATAAGCACAAATTATAAAAGATTTGAACAACGGTACTAATATAAGATGGTTATATAAAATCAGTTTTGTTACATCGGGTGATCTCATTTTATGGCAAACGCTATGGCAGTCAGCAGTGTTAAACAACATCAGTTGTTCGAACTGCTAGTCAAATGCGTTTTGTTAAAATATATTCTTTCACTTTTTGGTTTTTTGAAAAATGTTGTTTGTGCTATATTTAAACCCCTCTAACAAGAAATTTGTTTTGCTTGCACACATATAAAAGCTGAGGTTTTTTATCCAACGCCCTCGTAGATTTAAACGTTGTCTTTAATTTGGATTTGTATATATATACTATAAAAAAGAAGATGTGGTATGATTGCCAATGAGACAACTCTCCACAAGAGACCAAATGACACAGAAATTAACAACTGTAGGTCACCACACGGCCTTCAACAATGAGCAAAGCCCATACCGCATAGTCAGCTATAAAAGGCCACGAAATGACAATGTAAAACAATTCAAACGAGAAAACTAACTAAAGTTATGTACAAAAAATGAACGAAGAACAAGTATGTAACACATAAACAAACGACAATAGTATATATTCAATTTTAATTTTAGTAAATTAAATATTGAATTTATATTGGCAAGATAAATTTTGAAAAGGTATCAAAATGTGAAACACGTGAAAGACACATAAAAAAATCATACCTGGAAAACTTAAGGAATAGGCTCTATAAGAACATGTTTGACTAGGACATGCTTATAAAATTATGAAGAGAAATATTTTGAAGTAAAAAAAAAGAAAAATGTATGTGTGTGGACTCTTATCGTAATCGGATTTAAAGGTTTAAATTTTATTATTTTCCATTCCAATAAATAAATAAAACTAGGCATTTATGCTGTAAACAATCTTTTTAAATAGAAAGCAATTAAGAAATATGTCTTTTTGTATTCCTTAGAATAAAAAAATATATATTATCATAGCGTGTTGATTAATTGATCAAACAATCACAGGCGCTCATGTCATAACTTTAAATACCGGTACCGTAAAGATGATACGTTGTTTTTTCGCCGATTTTTTTTTTTCAAAATCTATCACTTTAGTGTTATGATACAGTATTTTCTAATAGGTATAATCATAATATTTATGGTTACAATAGTAATGTGTAAGTTATATTAAGACATTTGACACAACGTAAGTAAATTGAAGACATATATCATTGAATAATTTAAAATAAAGATATAAAATCTTCCAACATTCACCTTCAACAGTTGAGCAAACATTTAAATCGTACAATTAAAGTTTTGTCCGAATTATCTATTAATCTTAAACTAAAATGTATATAGGCTATTGTGTTATTTATAGTTACTACTAAATAGGAAAATATTTTTGTTTGTGCATGATAACTCATTTAATACATAATTATAAAACAAACAATACATAGAATATGTATTTGACAATTTTTAAAGATGTATCCGCTTATTCCAAAAAAATATTACCTAAAATAAGAGTTTGTTCATTTTACCTTGCAGAATTAAATTTATTATGATGTTTTTAAGTTACGTTAAAGATTGTTTTATCAAAACAGTATATATTGATTTGAACAAACACAATTGTACATGTAAAACTGTAGTAACGCAAATTTAAAGGAAATTTCCAAACAGAACTTAGATACATAAGCATTTATAAAACTTAGTTAAGTCTTACTTCAAAAAATAAATGATTAAATTGATGACAATCCCCTCAGTTTCAGTCACACACTCCAAGTAAAGTTATAAACTTTTTAAGTTTGATAAAACGGAAAAGAACGATTTGCTGGCCAAACTAATTGTTTTTAATTGTTTTTCTTCATAATGTAATTACTACAAACAGTTGGTAGTGAACACCACCTTTTATGAAATACAAAAATCTCGTTAACAAAGAATGTTTTCTACTTCGACTTCTATTTCATTACATTGGTCTATATCACTGATTTTGTTCCGATGGTACCATCACCCCAACTTCAACACTAGTTCTGACATAAACATGTCATTGATGTGGTCATTTTCGGTTAGTATATATTTCATAAATTGTTGAAATCAATATTAACTAAGGAGATGCAACATGATAATAATTGAGACAAATATCCACTAATGACCAAGGGAGAAGCCTGAAGGTTGATATCAACTACTACTAAAGGATAGTTTGCCTAAGTAAATCTTTTTTTGTATATTTGCATGGAAATGAATCAAACCAGCCCCCACTATCCACTTGCGTTTGTATGTGTAAAAACGCAAGAAGATAGTGGGAGCTGGTTTAAATCAGACTGGGTATTGAATGCTCTTCAATATTGGTCTTGTTTTGGGCTATTGAGCCAACAAAAGTTCAGAAAAACGGAATTTTGAACTGTTGCTTGATTGCTCCTCTTTCGACGGAATGCCTCTTACATCATAACTGTGAGAAATAATAGTTTATTTGTGGTTAAGTGAATAGATATTGATTGTAGTAACTTTCATCACTCTTATGTCTTGATCTTTACAAAATATTTTCAGGACATTATACTATTTAATCCCAACAACCGTTTTTAAGATTATAAGATGAATGATATAAAAATGTCTTACCTAAGAGAGTTTAGATCAAAAGGAGAAACACAATTTTGTTTCGTTTTGTAATCGGGATTCCCATTTAACAAAAGGAAATAACTGATACTCGATCAATATGTTATATTTGGGAACGGGGAATTTCAAATCCAGAACGAGGCTAAAAAGTGTACCTTTTTATTCATGTACGTTGATTTAAATTAAAAACTAATATAATACATCAATTGTATAGTGTATGGCTGATATCGGTTTTTATAGTGAATCGGTCCATTTTTTTTTAGTTTAGATCAGGTTTTTCCAATGATATTAAATGCGATTAGATTTCGATCAGTTTTATTTGAGTGATATTAGATGCGATCAGATCGGTTTACTGCTATTTTGTTAGCACACTAATTTCTGAATTTACAGTTTACAAAAGTTGTAATCCAATTAAACAGAAGCAGTCAAAGATCTGTTATGGGTTATACATGCACTAATGCCCATGACTTTTAAGTAAGTCCTCTATACAGTTTTGTCAAAAACTCATTCTATTTCTGGCAAGTTAATAACTGGATTGAGAACCTTATCTTCTCTGAGATTACTATTAGGTTCTAAGCACGAGCTGAGAACAGGTCATAATTTTGCAGGTGGTGCATTATCTGTAACTTTTTTAAACAGACATCTAACTTTAAGGTTAGTTGGATGAGACGTAGACTTGCTGTGTCCGGAGGAAAGATCCCTGTCGCAAGTCAGAAGCCTGTAATTCTGTGTTCGGCGTATCATATTCGTCAAATCTGTCATATCTGGTCTCTCCTTTGAATTGTTTTAACTTTTTCTAATCGAGCCTCTTAAAGGCAGACCATTCGTTATGGGTTTTTGTCCCCTTCACGACGCGTTGCGACGAACATAGAAATATTGGGCGTCCATCTGTGCGTTTGTCCGTCCGGTCTAGTAAGCGCTATAACGTTTTTATTTTTGCAAGATTTTTTATCAAACTAATATCTGAGGTTAATATAAACAACCTCATTGACAAGTCCTAAAAACCAATGCTGATCAACGATTTTTCAAAGATTTATACCCATTGTAAATTTCAATTACATGGAAAATTGCATTGTAGACACTCTAAAGCATATAGTTCCTGTCATATTTTTATCTAATTGATATCAAAGGGATATATCAGCAATTTCTCAGAGAAGTTCGAAAATCAGTGCAACAGAACTTTCCAAAAGTGTTATGCACTTTGGAAATATCAATAATATAGATAAAATGCATTTAAAGCCTAAAAGTTTTAAAGAATACATCAAACAAACAGTCATTGACCTTCTATACATTAAAAATGTGCAACACGTTGGGACACTGTAACTCTGTTCTATTTCAATTTACTCTTAAAGGCCGTACGGTGACCTTTAATTGCTAACATCCACTTGATTTAAACTCTGTTGGATAGTCGTCTTATTGGCAATCATACCGCACCTATGAATTGTATCAAAAAGACAATATGCAGCTTTTCTTTTGACATTGTCTGAACTGAGTCTCAATAAATAACATGTTTGTGAGCACTCATCCCTCAACTAACCCTTGTTGTGTAACATAAACAACATAAGAACAGATTGTAAAAAGCAGTTGTAAATTGTTGAACTCAATAGATCGATAGGAGACACGACAAAACAACTTACATACAAAAATATATATAACAAAGCTATTCATTTAAGCGCGGTCAGTAAGAAAAAAACATTGCCAACTTTTTCTATTGAAGATATAAGGATGATCCTATACAAAAAAGTCTTAAGGTAGTTTGTTTAAGTTTCGATTTGCAAAAATAATATTAACATAAATGACCACCATGTAACATGATTGAACAAAATGAGCAAAACATACAGACAGCTTATGATAATATATTTAAAACAGAAAACCAGATGATGCAAACATGGACGAGGGGTACTTTTGTTGATTTCCATCATTAATAAAAGTGGAATAATGAAATAATAATTCGCTTTTAGAAGCCAAATCAAAGAGATTTGCCAGCAAGAAACAGAGTTCTACATAGAACTCTTTGATAAATACATACAAACTGCTATTTCACATAATACCATCTCCAACATCTAAACAAAATCATCCACTTAAGATACTAGGATGACCCTATAATGATGTGTATAATTGTAATTTCTAAGTTTTGTTTTACCAAAATAAAAGGAATATAAATGACCACCATGTTGTAACATAAAAGAAACACATACAAAAGCTTATTTTAAACCATCTCAAACAGTAAAACCAGATGATCTACAAATGCACGAGGTTGTGCCTCTTCTAATTTTGAGTTTTGGTGCTTATCTTATAAAATTAAAGATGGATACTACAAACGGGGAACATAAAGTCATGTAGAACAATATTTGAAATAGCTTCTTCTTTGACACTGTCGCAAACATTTATCCAAATCTTAAATAAATAAACTAATCATAGATACCAGGATAAAATTTTGTATTTACGCCAGAGGCGCATTTCGTCTACAAAAGACTCATCAGTGACGCTCGAATCCAAAAAAGTTAAAAAGGCCAAATAAAGTACGAAGTTGAAGAGCATTGAGGACCAAAATTTCTAAAAGTTTTGCCAAATACAGCTAAGGTAATATATTCCTGAGGTAGAAAAGCCTTAGTATTTCAAAAATTCAAAAGTTTTGTAAACAGTTAATTTATAAATATGACCATATCAATGATAATTCATGTCAGCACAGAAGTGCTGACTACTATATATAAGGGTGATCAAATTATACTAATTTTGAGTATTTGGTGCCAATCTAATCAACAATTGTTGACACCAATGAAAACAGATTAAAACAGAACCCAATGAGAAGACATTTAAACCGAAGCATGCACACATGCTACTAGGGAGGGCAACACCATACTAAGTATACATTGTATTTATTAAGCCAGTAAATTCAATAAGACAAAAAGTACTTGTAAGTTCTGCTAAAAAATCAATGGTAGGAGTGATACCTCCATAACATATCTATTTGTATGATACGTTTGGCGCCAAATTTAGCAGGATAGTACCCGGACTCAAACCTAACTATTACTATCCACACTGATCTGTGTCCACACTTGTAAACATTTATCAAATAGAAAATACAAAAGCATTTATGAATATAGAGAGGAGTAACTCTTGATTTTCATTATTTTCTCACTGAAGAACTCCATCAATATAAGGGAAATGTTGTTCTATTTAAAAGAGCATTAGCTACGAAATATGAAAAAAAGAGAATAATTATGCTTTTGTTTGTTTCAATCATTAATATAGGGGAAATAATGAAATAATTATTCGCTTTTAGCAGCCAAATCAAAGAGTTTTTGCACTAAGAAACATAGTTCTACATTGGAATCTTTGATGAATACATACAAACTGCTATTTCTCAGAATACCATCTCCAAAAACTAAACAAAATCATCCGCGTCAGATACTAGGAGGATCCTATTAGGATATGTATGATTATTATAATTAAGTTTTGTTTTACCAAAATAAAATAAATAAAAATGACCACAATGTTGTAACATAAAAGAAACACATACAAAAGCTTATTTTAAAGCATCTCAAACAGTAAAACCAGATGATCTACAAATGCACGAGGTTGTGCCTCTTCTAATTTTGAGTTTTGGTGCTTATCTTATAAATTAAAGATGGATATATACTACTGGGGAACATGATATCATGTAGAACAGTATTTAAAATTCATACAAATAGATTCTTCTTTGAAACTGTCGCAAACAATTAACCAAATCTAAAATAAAAGATATAAGGGGGATCAAATTATACTAATTTTGAGTATTTGGTGCCAATCTAATCAACAATTGTTGACACCAATGAAAACAGATTAACATAAAACACAATGAGAAGACATTTGAACCGAAGCAACCATACATGCTACTATAGGGAGGTGGACACTATACTGAGTATACATTGTAGTTTAGCCAGTAAATTCAATAAGACAAAAAATACCTGTAAGTTCTTCTTAAAAAGCAAAGATAGGAGTGTTACCTCCATAATATATCTACATGTATTTATATGATAAGTTTGACTCAAAATTAAGAAAAAAAGTACCCGGACTCAAACCTAACTATTACTATCCACACTTGTAAACATTTATCAAATAGATAATACAAAAGCATTAATGTATATAGAGAAGAGTAACTCTTGAGTTTCAATATTTTCGCACTGAAGAACTCCATCAATATAAGGAAAATGTTGTTCTATTTAAAAGAGCAATAGCTACGAAACATGAAAAAATAAATAGAATATGATTTTGTTTGTTTCAATCATTAATAAAAGTGGAATAATGTAATAATAATTCGCTTTTAGAAGCCAAATCAAAGAAAGTTGGCACAAAGAAACAGAGTTCTACATAGAACCTTTTGGTAAATACATATACACTGCTATTTCTCAGAATATCATCTCCAACATCTAAACAAAATTATCCACTTAAGCTACTAGGATGATACTATAATGATATGTATAATTATAATTTGTAAGTTTTGTTTTACTAAAATTAAATAAATATAAACGACAACCATGTTGTAACATAAAAGAAAACATATTGGGAAAACATACAAAAGCTTATGATAAACCATCTCAAATAAAACAGTAAAACCAGATGATGTACAAATGCACGAGGATGCGCCTCTTCTAATTTTGAGTTTTGGTGCTTATCTTATAAAATCAAAGATGGACACCACTGGGGAACATAAATTCATGTAGAACAATATTTGAAATTCATACAAATAGCTTATTCTTTGAAACTGTCTCAAACATTTAACCAAATCTTAATTAAAAGATATAATGGTGATCAGATTATACTAATTTTGAGTATTTGGTGCAAATCTGAAATTCAAAATTGTTGTCACCAATGAAAACAGATTAACATAGAACCTAATGAGAAAGACATTCAAAGCCAAGCATGAACAACATGCTACTAGGGTGCTGAACACTATACTTAGTATACATTAGAGTTAAGCCAGTAAATTCAATAAAAAAAAATACCTGTAAGTTCTGCTAAAAAAGCAAAGATAGGAATAATACCTCCATAATATTACTATTTGTATG